TGCATATCATCATTTATTTTGAAGATATATTAATATCATTGATAGTATTAGATGCATTAATAATTCATAAATAGATGATGCATATGAATTGATAAGATATATTTCTTTAGTTATTTATGAATGATTTTTGCACTGTTGTTTTATCAATTTATTGAATTTTATATCAATTATTTAATTTTAGATTAATTGTAATGATTCACTGCTTTTATTATTGATCATTTTGAGTTTTATTGATAATATTTTATCATTATTTATATTGGTTGTTATTGATTATATTAGATTGAACATATCATGCTGATTTTTTAGTCATTACATTTAAAGCTTTAGTGAGTTTTGGATTACTGCTAGGCTTTTAAGCTCATTATGTGGATTTTTAATGATTTAGGGTCAGGGAATGGGTTAGGACCAGTTGAAGAGGTTGACAGAGATCCTCAAGTTTTTTTTTAAGATTTTGTTATGTATTTCCTTTTATTATTTTATAGTCAGGAGCTTGTGATAAATTAGTGATATTAGTGATCTCCTTGCTATTATAAATGATATTTTGGTGAAATAGCAAAATATCTTAATTAATATGATTTTAGTGCTTTTGCTGGTTATTGTTATATTGATGTTTTATATAAGCTCTGGTATATTCTTAAAATAATAAATAGACAAATCTTTCAAATTTTGGAGCATTACAAATAAAGAGTGATATTGTAATTTTGATTTTGTTGTTTTTATGTTGATATCTCTGTTATAAGTAAGCATAGGATATTTTGTGGGAAAACATAAAATTTATGTGCTAACAATAGAGTTGTAGTAGAGTATTTGACTTTTATTCCCTCAACTTATTTTGAAAATCTATGTTTGTGTATATTCATCATCGAGATTTTTACCTTGGACAGCTTTCTGTAGGATTGCAATCTTTAGATTAACGCTTGGCGATTTATGTGGTGAATTGATCTTCTATCTCTCCTTTTATTGATTAAAAATTATAAATTCACTTCTTTTTTTGAGCCATTTATGCCATTTAAGACAAACCCACACACAAAACGCATACACAAAGACTTGAACCCAAAACCTCTTAGTTGGAAGCCTAAGCTCTCAAGCAAGACAAGGCATCTTTTTTAGCGCCTTATGCATTAATGATTATAGAAGGTAAGTTTCTTGCCTTAGTAGTGAATTTTCTTAGGCAACATGTGCTTCATATGTGCAAACCATTTTATGCCATAAAATTTGCTAAATTTCATTTATCTTCTTTTTCTTCGTCTCCTTGTCTAACATATTGTTTGTGCTTCATTATAGCTTATATTACCATGATGCCACACCCTGTACCTTTAATCTATTTCATTTTTATTTTTCCTTTAAAGCTTAATGTTGCAGATATATTCTCAAAGGGTAAACAAGTCATCATTGTAATCTCCTATATTATACTCATTCTTTTTCTATATTTCATGCTTTTTTATTCTATCTGTTTGATTTTAGTTTTTAGCATGATTTTTTTATTATGTATGTTACTAGCATATTGTTATTGAGTTATTTATGAAAATTATTTAATTTCTGTAAACTTTCTATATAGTTTTTGTTTCTATTTTTAGTAAACATCATCAAAGTTTTGTTATTTGTCTAAAATGTTACCAAAATGTCATCCTAGTTTTGTTATCTGTTTAACTAAATAACTCAAAGAAGTACCTTGTCTATATATAATATTTTTTTGAATACATCCTTTTTTTTACTTTTAATCTTACCAAGAATGCCTTTTGTTTTGAATGTTTTAAATGATGACATTTTGTTTATGAAAACTTGTCATTACTGGATTTTTATTCACATATTTTCTTTTTAAAATTAGCATTTTATTTCATAAAGTTGCCCTCCACGAACTTTCACTTTGGGTGATATTGTCCCAAGGACCCTTAATGTTGAATCCTAAAAAGTTTAATGATAGATGTAAGAAAATTCTGTAGATTCTCTGGGAGCTTTTTCGTGGTAAGTTTCAACTTTTAATTATGTTATAGGTGTTTGTTTGTTCAGATTGAAAAGAAGTTTATTCAAATTGAACTAGCATTTAGTTGTTTGTTTGTTCAGATTGAACTAGCATTTACTAATAAATCAGTCTACACGTAAGCAATCATCATCATCATGGTGGTCCCTAACATTCATGGAGGAGATTTAATACATTGAATGAATCTCAAATGTACTAATTGTAACCCAAATTTGAGATGAGTCAAATGAGGCCAATTATTTATATAGTCAACATCTGCAACTCCTTGTTTCAAGATAAGTTCATTTTAAAAATTGCTTTGATTGTTTTTATTCATTATGATACTTTTTGAGGTGGGCATAAAGCCTAAGAACATTCCTAATCTCTCTCCAATTAAAGGTGCACTTGTATTTTTTTTAGAGTAGAACAAGTTTTTGAAAACTTCAATAAGCTTTTTTGGATTTTTTTTTTAATATTTTATGAGGATATCATCAAAACAATCCTCAACATTTTACCCTTCGCGATCTTAAAAAATATAATACATCATCTTTGGGTGTGTCATACATGTATTTTTTAACCAAATATTATTCCATTATAGCAATATAACACATCACCTTTTGGCTTTTATAAATGCCATCTTTTCATAGTTGATTATGTGCATTTTGATTTGATGGTATTTTGAAAAGGCATCCAGCAACTTATCAATCGATAGTTAACTACAGAGTTGACTAGAGCATTAATTTACAACAGTGGATAACCATCCTTGCCATTTTTCATAGTTCTAGGTAGTGCTAAGAATTTTGTCAGGAATAAAGAATGTGAAGTCGCCTTTCAATAATTTCTGTCGCTCCTCTCTTCATCACCTCTACTTCAAAATTTCAGCTAGGAGAGGACTTGCTCTTACATCTTTGATTCGATGAGGAGGTGGTAAGCTTGATCCTTATCTTTGAAGAAACGAAAAGTAGTGGCCAATATACTATGCAAGCAAAATTCTATGTGGGGTTGAGTTACCCCACCCAATCGCTTAGGCTTTAATTATATCTACATGATGACTTCAATCTTACTTTCAAGAACACTTGATTCAGTTTGTAAATGACCATTCTTAAATTTAGTCCAAGTGAGTCAGACCACTCAAGGTGACTACTCAAATGGGCTATGGAGACGTTAGAGGCAACTATAGAAGAATACTTATTCTAGAATCTCTATGCCAATGGGGTATTTGGTGTAGATTTGGTTGGCATTGTAGCCATTCTTTGACACTTGGTAACACTCTTTATCTCATAGATAAAGACAAATCAAATCAATGGCAGTATGAAACAAGAGAGGAAGCTCTTATGAAATTACTTACTTAAAGTCAAAATGGGATTAAGAAGTAGCACATCCATTAGGACCACACCCAATTCATCAATTTACTTTTTAAATTAAGAAATCCTGATGGAGGTTCAATTTTAGAGCTTATTCTCACCATGGATCAATTAGAAGTGATATAGGTTGACTAGCCCCTGGGGTAGAGTTCGGTGGATCCATTTATTGAATACTTCAAGTTAAGCATTATCTTAACAAATTTCAAAGATCCTTGATGACTCAAAATAAATGTAACTCGATACTTACTCTCACATAATAAGTTATTCAGCAAGTTAATTTCTACAACATATTTAAGATGCATGAAAGAATCTAAAGTTGTTGGTATTATCAAAGCTCACTCTAGTGAGTGCAATTATTACTTTGGTGGTCGAACATTAGCCAACCAACATGGAGGTAGAGATATTTTTGGCGTTCATTAAGGATAGATGTAAGAAATCTCAAAAAAGTGTATCAAATATCAAAAATTTGCACAAATGCAACTTTATTTTAAAAGTTGTAGCCGATTTCAAGTCCACGACCTTCTATTGTTTAGGGCATGAAATTAATTGAGAAAAGATACAAAAAAGAGTGGTGCTTAAAATCACTTTCAATCAAGTAGTACAACAAACATCTTGGTAACTAATATTGTCTCTTATAAGCACAAAGAGATTGTATTAAAGAAGGGAAAGACTTTAACTTTCATTGTTTATTTAAAGTATTATATAGAAATGAACTTTTAAGATATAGTATCGAGCATAATAAAACCTTAAGATGACTTGAAGTGGCTAGTGAGAAATTATTCAGTGCAAACACGGGACAGTCCCGATGACAACCAAAATACGTCACCCAGTACACAATGATACCTAGCACCGGTACCGAGCAAAAAATGATGTGGCACGCTCTGGTTGGCCTCCGAACGACATCTAGTGTCTGCACAGAATAATTTTTCCTTCTACTAGGTTATAGTATGGAACCCTATTTATAAGTACATAATAAAACAATTAAATATTCTCTAAACATATATTTCCTTGATCTACTGATGAATCTTAAAGATTCCAAATAAGATCTAACTTGGACTTCTATACAAAAAAGATGAATTTAGAAGATTCTACATAATGCATAAGTGACTGGGACTTTTTAGACAAAAAAATGAATCTATAATATTTTATAGAATTAACCATGGAATAACATATCTCCAAACTTAAGATTTTCAATAGAATCAAATTTTGTGAGATACTACATAATTACTTAATTGGTTAAATTTTATATTTTAAATGTATAAGCCTAACATGTTTCATAATATGATCATTCATAGGTAATAGCACATAAAATTTTAGTATTGTGTTAATAGAGCAATAGATCATTTTGGGAGTGCATGTTCAATACAAGGCATCAATAATCTAACATAAATTGAATAAATAAATTTCCCTTTCTTTAAGTAAGTTGAACTTTTTCTTTAGTGTATAGTGATGCAATGAAAATGATGACACCAATAAACATTTTGGCAAGAACTTAATTTTTATAAAATTATGCTATGACTTTTATCAATATTTGAGTGAATGTTGAAACAATAACCAAAGTTTAAAATTTCTTTTGAGTTTAATCTTAGAATATATGATGTTTTTTGTTTTAATATAGTTATAGGTTAAATAAAAATATTAAAATATATTTAAAATAACATCCTAATAACATGTGGTAAATTTAATTTTGAGTTTATATTGCTAAAATGTTACTAAAATTATTGATGAACTCTTCATCATCTCCCATCTAGTACTGTCAACGATACATCATTTATAGACTCAACTCCTTGCTTGATTGAACTTGAATGGTCCTCTTCAAAAGAATACCTCCTCGAAACAAATCCAGGACGCTTAGGCTCTGGTAACACCTCCGTCCCACTGGTTAACATCAATATCACTGAAGACATCAATGGTCTATCATTAGTGTATTCTTGAACACATAAAAGTCCTACTTTGATGCATCTTAGCACTTCAATAATAGGAAATGAATTGCTTATTGATTCATCAACTAATTCTATGGCTTTTCCTTCATTCCATAAGATCCATGCCTGTATTAAAGAATTTATGTTGTTTATGCATAATATCATATGATTGTCATTAAAAATAATAATAATAACTTACTCGGTCTATAAGATGATTGTTGGATTGAGAAGGAGAACCTGTATTCCTTCGATTGCTTATAATCTCAAGAATTATAACTCCATAACTAAATACATCAGATTTTATTGAAAAAATGCCTTCCATCACATATTCGGGAGACATATAGCCACTGCATGGAAAGATTTAGTTTGCATAATAAATATTCAAGACAAATGAAAATATTATATCATTGATGCATTAGTAAATGTATATTATAAGATGATAAATCTTACTATGTTCCTACTACTCTTTTGGTCTCAGATTTTGTATCATCTCCTCTAAATATTCTTGCCAAGCCAAAGTCTGAAATTTTCGGCTCCATCTCTTGGTTGAGAAGAATGTTACTAGCTTTCAAATCTCTATGAATAATTCTAACCGCCGAATCTTGATGAAGATATAGAAGTCCTCGAGCTATTCCGATGATTATTTTATAACGCATTTTCCAATTTAACAATACTTTTTTTTCCTTATCTGACCATAGATATAGTCCATAAGTGTATATTTGCTAAAGGATAAAAATATTAGCAAAGCATGGCTAAACAATGTATAGGAAAGCCTAAAATAAAGCTTTGATCCATTTTAGATACTGACTCCCAAATAATTGGACAAAAATAGTAAGTAGCAATATTTAAAACCTTACCAAATAGAAAAGTATCCAAGCTTTTGTTAGGCATATATTCATATATTAGCATCCTTTCATGTCTCTGTATGCAACAACCTAAAAGTAGAACTAGATTTCTATGTTGAAGCTTAGCTATTGACATCACCTCATTTTTGAACTCATTTGCCCCTTGCTTCGAGCTTTTGGAGAGCCTTTTCACAGCTATCTCTTTTCCATCCCTTTTCTTTCCCTAAACATTAACAATTAATGTAAATATATAGAATCAATGAATGAAATATGAATTAATACTAGTTTACTATTATAATAACATGCTTAGAAAATTTTAACCAAATTTAGTTTGATATAGTTCTTTCTAATGAAGCAAACTTTTCCCTTGAAATTTCACACTTGTGAAATCAAAGGAATGGTGGGTATCATTATGTTTGGCAACATTTATCTATTCACTTATGTTTTCAATTGAATGGCCTTTATTTTGAGACTTAAGTTTTGATATTCCAATGTCAAGATTAATTACAAGTGTTATGCTCCATAGAAAAATGTCTATATTGATAGAGTCTCTAGATATGGAATGCCTTGAGCATCCTATAAAATACTTCACATGAGCAATTCAAAAAGGGGTCATCACCTCCCTAATGGGAGGAGGTCCAAGCTTTTAAAGCTCAATTAGTATCAAATGATGTAAAGACCTATTATTGTCAAACTATAGGAGTGAGGTTATGTGAAGTTGTCTATCAATTTGGTTCATTAGGCTTTAAATTTGTCTCTTTAAAAGTATCCTTGATCTTCTAGTGTTTACATAGCATAAAAATGTCATGATAGTTTTTCAGGGTCCCATCCCAATATCATGGGCTAAAGATTATCAAGCACAATAAAGATCCACTAATGATCAGCATCAAGGAACCATGTTATATGAAGGGCTAGAGATTACTATGCACAAAGGATCAAATACATGAAGACTTAGTGCTTAAATTTTTCTTGAAAAAAAATTAATTGAATTTAACTTTTGAAATTCAAAATTTAAGTTTTGAATTTTAAAATTCAAAGATTTATTTTCCTTTATTTAGAGTATTTAGAGTGTTTTTAAACCTAGCATGGCTGACCATAGCTCCTACTTGAAAAAATAAAAAATTGAAAATGGAATAAAATATGGAGTGTGTTTGAGGTATTTTTAACCACCTCCACTCTTTTAATGTTAATAAAATGCTTCATTAAGAATTTAAATTTAAATCATCCTTAAATAATTAGCTTGAAAATCTTTAATCAAAATAATAATATAAACATCATATATTGATTAAATAGCCATTATCACTAACTTAGCCATATTAGGTGTTATAAAAGGTACATCATAAGTCATCTTAGGGCTATAGTGTAATTAAGGTTACTCTCCTTTCTTGCTTAGCTGAGTGATATATTGATGCATTAGTAATGTTATTTTGTTGTAATTGTGAACATTAAGATATAAATATTTTTCTTATATAAGTGCTTAATTGCATAGTTTCGTTGAAAGCATTAATTAATGCTCGGCATAATGTTGTGTGATGCTAAAATGAAAGCTTAGAGCCAATGTCTTGTGTATGGCTATTTTTATGTATATTTTGAGTCTAAAAAATACTTGTAGACATGTGGGATGATATAAACATATAAGGCTTGGAGATATGCTAGAGTTTAGGAGGCTTCATTTGCCAACCTTTAACTATCATACATAACAAAAGATTAGATTATACATATGGAAGATCTTTTTTTTTTTTTTTTTTTTTTTTTTTTTTTTCTTCTTCTTCTTTATGGAAGATCTTAATTGCCTTATTATCCTTTTTCTAGGTTGTACTACCAAACCAAGTTTCACACACAGATGTACATGTTTAATATATCATTATGATTTACTATGATTTGTATTCCTTCAATGTGATTTAAAAATTACATGATTTTTCTTAGGTTTCTTAAATTATAATATAATTGGCCTAGAAACCATTTATGTTGGGCTCATAAGGTTAAATGTAATGATTCACTAAATAGATTTACACCATTCATCAATGAACAAATTATATATATATATATATATATATATATATATGCATAGTGTACCCTTCATTGTCGAGCACCATATGCCAAGGCCATGCTCCTTGAGTAGCATCGTGTCGTGTCTATAGATCCCTCTTCTTAATAATAATACCACCTTTCATTTTCATAGGAACATTAGAATCATGAATTTTAAGTTGCTTAGATAAGTTTAGTTGATCGTCTCTATTAAGCAGGGTTATAAGACCAATGTATAACTTTTCTATTTTTTTATGGGTTTAACCCCAGTGCTATTGGTTGCATTATAATTAGATAGTTTTTTATACCCAAGTGATAATGCAAGTCACCATAGATTTAGGTTTGAGATTGCCATCATAAGTTTTGGTGTTTAAAGTCCTCACATGAGGTGTCCATAATAATGCGGTCATTATTATTTTGAGGAACCAGAAACCTCACTAATAAAATATTTAATTTTAAATTAAGGTTAATAGTATCAATCATTACTAAAATATTAATTTCAAAATATATTTATGCTTCTTTTAGGCATCCAAAGCTTCCCAAGGTCACATGCTCATAGAGCTTTTTTTCTTTGGAAACTTATATTATCCTTCTAAATATTGAACTTTCCATTTTGATATCCCAAGCTTACATTCATTTATCTTACCTTCAACATCTTAAATTATGACCATAACTTCAATTCAAAATTTTCTTAAGGCCTAAAATCTTAAAGATATAATTAACTATGGGAGGTTACTCTTATAAGGAGCCAAAATTCCAAACAAAATGAACCATGTATAGCTAAATTCATGTTAGGTAAAAGAAACCTCAGGCATATATATATTTTATTATAAACATATTTGTCTTCTAAATTTATGGGTGCATAACATTCTATATTTAGATAAAGTAGTCCCCCAAACAACTAATTGTTGAAAAGATAAATATATGACTCAACGTGCCTTGCATTAATCCCATGAGAAAAGTCTATATTATTAATCTCTTAAAATGGTACATTCATTTAATGCCACATTTACCAAGGGGTATAACTTTGTATTATGTTTTTTTTTTTTTTTTTTTTAAGTGGATAAAGAAGGCATGTGCATTCAAGGTGATCAAACACCTTGGTGTTACAAAAGCCCTTATAAATTACAGGGTTACATGTATGATCCATGCAAGGATCCTAGCATGTCAAAACTCATCAAAGGATGTGCTATTTTATGAAATTAAACTCCTTTAATAGAATATAGGACTTAAATATATTTGCTAATTTTAACTTGATCTTAGGATAACATCTCCATAAATATTCTTAGCGGTTTACCATGACTCATGAGTGTCATAAATATACGTCTATTGTGGCAGATGACTTTCTAAGAAGATCATCCCTATCATGTGCAGGAAATTAAGCACTCACAAGGATGTATCGTATTTATTTTGCAATTATGTTTGGTTCCATAGTAGGCTTCAAACCCCTATCATCTCTAATTGTGTCTCTCCCTTTCTAAGGAATTTTTTTTAAGTCTCTTTGAGCCATAATCTATAAATTAACCATTAAATTGAGACCATTCATCACATGGTGGTGCATTTTTGAGAGAATTCAACTCTAATTTATCAAAATTATAGGATGAGATCCTCCCATATGTACAATTTTCATTCAACCATACCACACATAATTCCACCGACTAGGCTCTATTTAAAATGTGTTTGGACTTCCTTCCTTAAAAGGCCTTTTATTATTCATCAATGATTCAACATCAATAACCATTAAAGTTAAGCCAAATTAATCATAGAAGGAATTTAATAGCTAGATATGAAAGTGGAGATGAAACTATTGGAACCATACCAAAATCATACAAATGGGCATGATTGTCTTTAGATTGAAAGGAAGTATAAGCAATGGGATCATGTTTCTCTTTACATAAAGAAGGAAAGCTTCAAAAGACAAGAGCATGCACCATTGTGATCTATTCAACATTGTTAAAAAATATAGTTTGTAGACTTTCCCATTTACATAGAAATCTATGTGATGCAAAATGTGGAGAACCAAGCTATTTGAGCTCTCTTTGATTGATGAGGAATTGGAAAAAAAATCTTGAACCTACTTGATGACTTAAATTTGGGACAACAAAAAGAATTTGAAAAAGAAATGGTGATAGAGATAATGACTAATCTTACTTCTTTGAAGTGTTAAGGCAACATAAACAACTATCATGTAGCATAAGAAAGCTTCTAACTATCAAATGACACAACCAAGAAAATAAAGATGTCATTTTTTCCCACCCCTTCATCAATTAGATTCATGAGAGTGAATCTACTTCCGAAAACAGAGATGTGATTTGATATAATTAAAAAATGATGTGTATAAAACTTCACTAATTCATCAAATATAATGATTTTATTTCCATGCATAAACAAATAAAATAGATCATAGTTTTAAAACATATTTTTTTTGGTATAAAGTTCTTACTATAAATCAAATTTGTTTGAAATTGAATTACCTTATAAACAGGGCCAAAACCACCCTCTCCAAGCTTGTTCTCTTCTGAGAAGTTATTTGTTGCTTCAACAATGGTTTCAAAATCATAGAAAGGTAGATCAATGTCATTATCACTTGCCATTTCATCATTTTCTTTATGATCTGTTCATGGGTCATGACATAGAGAGAAATTAAGATAAGAAAAAAAATATATAATTAATTAAGAACATCTGAGTGATATAAGTAGATGAAAATGAGGCCATACATCTTCGAGTTCTTTCCTTTTTCTTGTTGTGATAAGCTATCAAACAACTGATTAATATACATCCAATGAGCAAACTTCCGATAAGTGGCACAACAATTGCAATTATCCTTTTGCCCTTGTGATTATATTGGCTTGATACTGTGCCTATAAAGAATACAATAAAAAATATTGCATGATGCATCAACACTAATAAGTTATTAGTTAGGATATATGGTGCTCAAAATACTTTCGTTCAACACAAAGAATTACAATAGCTACTTTGTACCTGTTCAACATTATGTGAATGGTCATGCTTACAGGGAAATAATCAATAATCGATGTGTGTTTATAAAACTCATTAGTTAGGCAATTGAACATGAGGCAGCCCAATTGAATGAATGGGCTCGGGTTGACTCGAACTTTTACGGTTTTGGTCCATTTGGGTGTTGCATGGGTTGAGTCAAGTCATGGGATTGATGGGGGAGGAAGGTTGAAGTCAAGGGCTGCCCAATGCAGGTGCCAATTGGGCCTAGTCTAGTTTGTGGATGAAGATGGCTCGGGGTCTATTATAGATTTTAAGAGTGGCATGCCCCGTAAACATGGAGAAAATCCATGATAAATTTGGAGCAGTCCATCGAACGACTCATATTGATCCCCTTGATTATAGCGTATTTGATCAACATTTTAGTACCTTAATGATGTCAAAATTAAGCGATCTTAGGCTTGTTGGATTTGTCTCATCAAGCCGCTCGATTTGACTATAAGCATATGATATTTGGATATCATTTGATCATCCAATTAGTGCTCTAAAATTTTTTAATATGCTTTTAAGTCCTTGATTTGAGCCCATTTGGGCTTATATTGGACCAATTTTAGTGTTGTTTGTCATCTTACTGAGACGTTCAATTTGACTATAAGTTTGCCGAAATTGATGTTTAGATGATCGAATTTAATTCTGAAAGTTATCAACTAAGATATGCCTCGAGATTCATACTGGATCAAGACAAGTTTTTGGTGACGTATCAATAATAATGGGAAAAAAATACATTAACAAATTCAATCAATCAAGAGCTATTTGGCTTGTAGTAAAAGGGATGTAAAGTATCTCAAATATAGGTGTTTTGAAAATATTGACATTTGATTTGAAGCAAAGGGAATACTTAATAAAATTCTAAAGTATTTGTATAATACAATATCAAATTCATTTTCAAATGTATTTAAAATTCCCTTGATTTTAGGTGAATTTCAAGTACACCTTAAGAGTAGAGCTTTAAAAATGCCTTAAGAGTAAAGCTTCACTTGTTGTCGCCACTCGTCACTATCTGCCCGTTGTGGCCGCCACGGGCAACCAACATTTATTTGCCACCTATATATAGTCCTATTGCCACCACCCAAACCATCATTATTATCATTGGTGCTTATATTACATTTGTTTTACTTTAAAATAAATTAAAAATATTTATCTACATTTATTTTACATGAATGTTTAAATTTATATTATTTTTTTTATAATGTATTCCATGTTAACCTATATTTTCTTTTTTACTAAAACAAAGAGCCCCTGAGTAAATCTATGTTTGAATTTATGGGATTTTTATTCTAAGCTTATTTTAATTATCAAATAAAAAATAAATTATTAGACCGTAGCTGGCAAAGTGCATTTTCGATGAAAATAATTTGTGTATGGAAGAACACACCTGAAGCGTCGCTCGCGGCGACGCGCACAAAGAGCTCAGAGCCACCGGTGGGGAAAAAGCGCATGTCATTAAGCTCGCCAGCCCATATTATGCAGCCACTCCCGCCACCGGCGGCGCCAGCCAGCGAGTACGCTGTGCAAGAACAATTCTTCAAACACCTCGCTTTGCACTCTTCTGATCCCAGGCTGCTGTCTGCCACCGCCGCCGAGGTGTCTGGAAGTTTCACCCCACTCACCGTAACGAATCCATCAGTACCTGTTCCGTTCCGACAGTCGAGGGTTTTGTTCCTCATGCACCCATCTCTAGCATCTCTTAGCACCCATCGGGGCGGGTTCTTGGGCCGAAACCCATACAGACAGCGGCAAGACGGCGACTCGTAAGCGTTGCAAGTCCCGAATGGCCCGCAAAGCGAGAACTCGTCGCATCGGTCCTGCGGTGACTCGGAGAACAGGCTCCACTGCCCCGGCGGGTCAATCCAAACGAATCGCTGCCCGGTCCCGTTTGAATTTAACCTCAGCATCGACATGACGTTGTTGACGGCCGGCTCGAAGTAGTATCCCACCTCCTCGGTTGTTGTCACGAAGGTGACGGTAATGACTGCATAATTTGGTGTTTCCGGCATGCCGACTAATCTATTTCCGATCATCGGGCCACCGCGAAAGAACACGCTGTGGCCTTGGGTAACGATGACTTGCGGAACTCCGCTGAGGTTGATTGCGGTTGTATATTCCCCTGGCGATGGATCGGTGGGACTCGCCCAGGAAGTTAGGTTGCGGTTGAGATGTGTGCGAAGGTCCCAGCCTATAAACATCCCTGCAATCATAGTGTTCGAAGGGTGGTCGAAGCTCTGCCATATGTAGTTGTTACCGAAGACATCATCTCTCACGATCAGGTTTCCGGAGTCGAGGAGTTGAGCGGTTGGGTTGATTGCGGTACCAGTGGTGGTTTTTCCGGTGGACGGAGAGGACCAAATGGCGGTGTTTTTGTGGTCAAAGACCAGAAGGGTACCGTTTGAGGTCAGGGCGAGTGAGCCGCCGGAGCCTGCAACCGGACTTCGAGTGTTGGCCACCCAGACGACGTCGTGGGAAGATATGTTATGGTACCAAATCGCTACGTAGCGCTTGCCGGAGCTGCTGTTGGGACTGAAGAAGCCGAGGGCAAAGGTACCGCCGGCGGAGATGAGGGTCTCACCGTCGTTCAGGGGGCTTGAAGTGGTCAGCATGTCGCGGAGGCTCGTGGCAACTGTTGGAAGGATGGAGAGGATAGCAAAGCCGATGAAGAACATGGTTTTTTGCATCACGGTCACTCAATAATCCTGCAGACACAGATTATCTAGCTAGTTTTACAAGTTTGGAGGACCAGAGTAAATAATATTTTTTATGCTAACAAATATCTTAATAGCTAAAAGATTATATTTCATTTTATTAAAATTTATTATTAATTGTGCTTAGTTAACTTGTTAGTTGTGACATTTTTCTGCTTTTGTTAAATCAGTTTCGGTCCTGCCAGAGCCAGTATTGTCTCAACACCTTTCTTTTGTTATTTTCATAACCTTTAATGTAGAAAAGGATTTCATTTTTTTTTTTTCTGTCGAACCGAGATCTCTGCCCTCATGGCTGGGGTATTGAGGTGCTGTTCCCTTCATCTCCCGGCATAAAATAGTTCATTTAAAAAGTTCGGTTTTTTCTTATAATGCCAAACTCATATGACCCAACCAGGACCAGAATTTAAGGTGGACTGAAAACAAAAATTATGTCAAAATATGCTAATATAATTTAAATTTATTGATTTAAATTTGTATTGCAGTTATTTCAAAATAAATTTAATAAAATTCAACCTTATCTTAATATAAATTACATCAAAATATTTTTATTTTTTTTTTCAAAAAAATATAGAGAGTAAGAACAAATATTAAATATATGAGAGAAAAAGCAAGTGAGAGAGAAAGAGGAAAATGACAAATGAGAGTCATTTAATTTTAGGACATGCTTTAAAATAACTGTAATGTAATTAAGGATAAGCAATAATGCATAAATCTCAAAATAGATTTAAGGGATTTTGCTTTGATATCCTTCCCTACCAGTTTGTGGATGGGATGTCACTACATTAAAAATTTTCAACTTTATATTATTCTTTGATAGAAATTAGATTTCCTTTATAAAAAATAATAATAGAATATTTTTTACATAAGATTATGAATTTTAATAAAGATAATATTATTGGCATTAATGTAAAAAATGATAATTTTAAATAAAATATTACTATTTTTTAATATTTTTTCTCATTTAAAGTATTAAATAAAAATAAAATCTTACTTTTTATTAATAAATTTTAAAAATATAATTTTTAAAATTATAATAGCTTTAAAATTGATAAATATAAATATATGATTAAAAAAATTTAAAATAAAACAAGAAAAAGAATATGCTAGGAATATTCCTTTTTTCATATTAGAAAATGAAGTTCGATTGGAGTCGAGTTACGGCATTTTGGAGTTTTACTGCATTTTGAAGTGAGAAATGAGTTTTTCGGTTGGAGATGCCCTAAGACCTCTCCAAGGGACGTCTTTTTTCAATAAAAATATTGTTTGTTTTCTTAAAACTGTCAATTTATATCCGCTCTAAAAATAATTTCTCGCTTAGCCCTATCTGTCTTCCTCGGATTAATTGCTGCTCCAAACTAGTAGTAAAGCCAGGACAGACATTTCTGATAGATAAGTAGGCGATACAGTTTCATAATTGGGAGGCTATTCACAAAGCTGAATTAGGGGTATCAATATTTGACCCACTCGTAACACAATTCAGACTCGACTCAAACAATTCCATGTTCAAGTCAACTTATTTGGCAAATATGTTGTTATCCCAAAAACATGATGTTAGCCCGGATCCCCGTGTTACTTAACTCAATCTCGTGTCCGGCATCCCGCACTGGGCACGAAGCACGCGCGCATGCCTCGTCCATGCTCGGGGCTCTACCTTGCGTCCCGCACCAACGGTCTCCCTCGCAGCCACTGGCGGAACCATTTGTTGCCCCCCCTCAAAAAAAAAAAATTTATAGGAGAGTAAAAATTTTTTTTGCCCCTCCTAAAAAATTATTTTTGCCCCCCCCCCCCCTAAAATCTCTTTTGTCCTAACTTGCCCTAAAATATTTATATATTTCTTCACATTTTGTTCTAATATTCTTTTTCATGACAGTTTAATTACACTTTTTTTTTCTTTATTCTTCTTGCTTAAATTTTTTTAAATTTTTTTTCATAATATATAGATATGTAATATTATTTTTTTAATATTTAATTATTTTTGTGCTGTATTTGCCCCCCCCCTCAAAATTGAAGCCGGTTCCGCCCGTGCTCGCAGCCCATGACTGCATGCACGTTATGAGCCTTTGAAGCTTTAACTATGATTTGCTCTTTTTCTTTTTTTTTTTTTTTTTTTTTAAATATTTTTTTTTTTTTTTGACAAATATGAGATTGTTTGATATAGTGATTATGTGAAAGGGTAACCAAACAGAACAGAAAAAAGAAAGAAGAGAAGACAGGAGCTTGAAAAAAAAAAGCGAGGGAAAATTAATCTATTCCAATTAAACGAAACAATACAAGTATATAAAAGAGCAGTGAGAGGTAAAGAATAAGAAATGCTAGAGTACAATACAAGCGTATGCTAAGCCCTGTTCTAATATCTTCTCTCAAATTAAGCGTTCTTTGAGTGAACGGTTAATTTGGAACGAAGAAAATCAAATGTAATAGAAACAGAATTATCCTTGGTTAATTTTGATACAGAGAGGAGATTGTGTGTGAATACGGGAACATGTAGTAAATTGCAAAGGTGAAGCTTACGAGACGAGTCCGGCAAAAGAAGAAGTCCTTGGCCGTAGTTCTGTATAGGAATGGTAGTGCCATTCACAACAGAGACAGATTCGTGTCCGTGATATGCAGAGGGGAATTGAATGGTCGAGGCGTCCGACGTCATGTGAGATGAAGCGCCGGAGTCCAGGACCCAAGATTGAGATGCAGTCGGATTCGGTTGAGCTAGAACAGCTCGAGGTGCAGCGTTCGTTGGAGGGGCCTAAGACAGATTGCAACGATGCCAGCAGTTGGACGCTGTATGACCGATCTTGCTGCAGATTTGACAGATCGGACGATTACCAGAAGTAGGGGGCTGAGATTGAGCATGTTCAGGGTTAACGCGAGGTCCGTTGTTCCGGTATTTGTTGGAACGCTTTGGGTTCTTGTTCCGAGTTTGATTGTAGGAAGTGGCGTAGTATGCGGCCGTTGTTGCAAGTTGATCATTCTTGATGTCCTGGTTGATGTGTATCTCCTCGCTGCAGAGGAGAGAGTAGAGAGCATCAAGATCGGCAGGAAGAGAGGAGGAATGTATGTACGTCTTGAAGGAGTTGTATGTGGCCGGGAGGCCGTTGAGGATGTAGAGGACAATTTCTTCGGGATCAATCTTGGTGCCGGACGCCGCAATGTTATCCACGATGTTCTTGACGTGAGCTAAGTATTGCTGCATTGTCTAATTGTTCATCTGGATGTGATGAAACTCATTCTTGAGTTGAATGATACGGGAGCGACTCGACAACTGTAGTCGGCGTTCAAGAACGGCCCAAACTTCGTGTGCCGTGGCAGAGGTAATTACGTAGGGAAGAATGGCGGGAGAGATCGTTGAAAAGAGAGCTGAGATGAGGTTGTTGTGGACAAGGCGCCACTGTGCATGATCCGAGGATGTCGGATCCGATGGTGGAAGCATTTTACTCGTGAGATGATCGGCATATCCGTTGGCCGAGAGATGCTGGAAGAAAGATCTGAGTACGCCAGATGGCGTAGTTGTCGGCGGTGAGGGTATTTGGAATCAGGTTCTTGATGTTTGAGATGATGAACTTGAGGGTTTACGGGAAGAACAAGCTCGGTGTGTAGTCCGGCGAGTGTAGATGAAACGGGAGGGAGGGTGGAAGAAGATTCTTGATCCCCCATGACTGACTCTTTGATACCATGAAAGGGTAACTGAATGGAACAGAGAAAGAAAGAAGAGAAGACAGGAGCTTGAAAAGAAAGCGAGGGAAAATTAATCTATTCCAATTAAACGAAGCAATACAAGTATATATAATGACACCGGCCAGGTAGGGGGTTCGACGATTCCACGTCGACGATCCGGTGACAGTCGCCGGACACTGCTCCAAGAACTTCTTGGAGGAAAGATCCACCACCTAAGACTCACTCTTAGGATACAGGAAAACACATGAGATAAACTCAAAATTTATTCATATCAAAATCTATCATATTACAAGACATTGGCTACCTATTTATAGCCAAAAGAAGGAACATACTAGGCTACTCAAAACAAAAGAAAGCACTAAATCTATGTAGCAAGATAAGCTACCAAATGGATTGAATTATCCTGAAGTTAATACAACTAATGGCTCAGCTCCGGCGTCATATAAGAGCAGTGAGAGGAAAAGAATAAGAAATGCTAGAGTACAATATAAGCGTATGCTAAGCCCTGTTCTAATATTATGATTGGGGTAGAGATATACATGATAAAAAAAAAAAAAGCTCCGCCAAATTGTGTTTATGGGGGATACTACGAAGCTCAATATGTCACTACAACTTCATTTATTTGTCATATTATTATATACAAAGTGGAGTTGAAGTAAATGATGTATGATGATCAAGTGGCGGTCATCTTTAATAAATCACTCAACCAATAAGCTTTTTTTAAAGTTATGGATCATTCTTGGAGTTACAAATAAGGTTTATGTGTGAGTATTAAAATCTTTTTTTGTTAAACATGTACAATTAAAAGATAGGAAATAGATGCAATACATCTTTGTATAGTATGTTATATAGGTAATTAAGTAATGAAAGACTAAGGCTTCATTTAGGACGGCTTTCTTACTACTTCTTAAAGCAACTTTTTAGTAAAAAAAAAATTAATTTTTGTACTAGAAAGGTGTTTTAAGAAGCAGTAAGAAAGCCGTCACAAATGAAGCCTAAGATTGTTTTGATAGGTGAATGATATGTGATGTAGATTAGTTTTAAAACTTAGGCATCAAATGAGAAGCAAAAGCTTGCAAGAAAGTAGGGTGAAAAAAAAAAAAGAATAAATATGGTTTGGAAAAAAAATGTTTATGTGAATTTAAGAGTTCTATTTTATCAGATATGATTTTAAGGTTATAAAAATTTGATTTTGTGTGAAAATTTTCTAAAATCATGTTAGTAGTGGCTTTATACCATTCTTTTATTATCACCAGACAACTTTGATATAGAAAACAATTTTCTATTTTTATCATTGATCTTATTTCTCCGTCTTCCTACAGTTCAAGCTGCTCCAAAGCAAATGTTGCAAACATAAAAATTGCATGCCTTGAAATTTAGACTATTGCTTCTATATGACGGGCTTGCAAAGCCAGTAGAGCACAAAGAAGAGATCTTGAGGTTTTAAGGCATGCTCTTTCACGAGGTGTTGAGGTCCTACATTCTTTGTTCAAGAAAAGTTCTACATAGTTTAGCAATAGTAGATGCAAGTATAGAAGACATTGAATGTTTGGAAGAGTTGTTGTTCATGGTGGATGTTGTGCTTGTCCTTCCTTATTTTCTTCTGCTTATGTTTTGTAATAATTTGAATCAATAGCTCGTAGTTTTTATTTCAAATGATATATTTTTAGAGGGTTATCGATTCAATAAGGACTTATAATCTATTATTTATATTAACGCATAAGCCCCTATATATGAGTTTTATTAAAATTTATCTTTTTCTCGATGGGGAATAGATCGACCCAGCTTCCTCAGTTTGAAATTGGAGTAAGTTCCAAGCATGAAGTGCTTCTTGCAAAGGTTTATCATAACTGGGTCACCCATATTAAAGACTTTTTGAGCTATTTGTCCCGCACAATTGCTCTTACAGTTTGGTAGAAAGGCAAGATTTACTATACGGTTAAATAACAAAGTATAAACTATATAAAATGGGCTCTGCCTCAGGAGCAAATGGTAATTTAATTGTAAGCAAACTCAACACAGCGATGACTTCATCCCATTGTTTCACCAACTGAACAGCAAAGCATATCACATTCTCACCAATAATAAGATTGAAAATCTTAATTTGTCCGTTGATTTGAGGGTGATAAGGCGAATTTAACGGAAGATTTATTTCTTGTAGTTTACATTACTCTTATAAAAAATAACTGACAAACTTAGCATCCCAATCTATTTGCAGTTGTTTTCATAGCTCTCATAAAAAATAACTGACAAACTAGCATCCCAATCATACAGGAGATTTCATAAAAGTCCACGAAGATGCACGATTTCAAGGAAAAAGAGTCGGGCTACTTTAACACCACCAAAAATCTTCTTACAAACAATAAAGTGTACAATTTTTGCGTTTTGGTTGACAACTATCATAAGAAAATTGGCTTCTCATCTGATTATGCGCAATCTCAACATAAAAATATAATTTTAGACTTCCAAATTAAATCAAGCTCACGAGGAATTATTCGTACGGACACCGGATGGGAGAACCATCTGGTTATTCGATGCATACCCAGCCCGCGGTACCGAGGGGTATCGACTGCGGGTACCGAGTTGGGTATCCAACAATGAGGTGACATGGCGCATTTTTATGTATCTCCGAATGACCTCCGGTCTCCGCACAAAATAATAAGTCATCGAGCGGACACATACAATCCTGTGTTCTTTGATGCTCACTTGAAAGCCTGGCAAACAGTACACTGTTCAATGAACCAGGTGACTTACAGCATTAATTTTGGCCAAAATAATATGACAGACCAAAGTTTTTTGGGAGCCAACATATGCATCGACCCACCAGCATGGTTTTTTATAATGCACTCATTTTAAATTAAAGAGAAAGTTGCTCTCACACAGACGCAGTCAAGACAAAATCATCATTTCACGTAATTTTTTTTGTCTTTATGAGTTGTTTTTTAATGTAGTTGCTCCTTTTCTCCTAGATTTTCTCCGTTATGTTTTCTCCAATAACTTCAACTTTTCAGCCATAGGGAAAGAGACAGCATTAGTGCAGGGTTGCATCCATTTCTCTCCAGCTTTTAACTCCCTTCATGCTTTATACTATTAGACAACAAGGATCTAGAAGCATCTAAAAATCAAGAAAGTACAACTACCAATAACCAATGTACACGTGGAGTGTAGTTAGAGAGGTTAAACTTGTACTTAAACCCCTATAAATAGGGATGCTGTACTTACACTTGAGATAATGAAAACTCTCACTAATACTCATTTACTGTTTACCTTAACTGTTGGTTTAACAACCTAAACAGTCTATCATGGTATCAGAGCCCTGTCCCTGAGAACGAGTTTTTTTTTTTTTTTTTTTCTCTCGTTCTTGATCCCTCCGCTTATCTCAATGGCGGATTCGTCTACCTCCCTTCCGACCGTAGATTCGACATCAACAACTCCTCAACTCAGCTTTTCTCCTCAGCTCAAGTTCTTGATGAGTCACATCAAGAATCTGGTTTCGGTAAGGAAAAGAGTATTCTCTAAGTGTTGTTCCTGCAGCACAAAATGGGTAAAGTGATTCCACATCACAACCTTTTTCTTCTTTTTGCAGCTGCATTAAGTTTTTACTTGTTGTGGCTGCAAAAGTAGAAAAAATTAAACTAGAAAGTTCCTTTAACAGTGTAAAGCAGTTGTCAAACAAGATCACAGACAGCTTACCAACAACTGAAAAATAGTCAGATTCCAGAGACTTCATGCTACTTTTTCTTTTTTTGTTCTTAATTATTTTTAGAATATTGAGCGAATTTAATGGTTAGAAATTAATAGCTAGTTTACTTGGGCTACGTTTGGGACGGCTTTCTTAAAAATTTTTGTATTAAAAAAACTGCCATCCCAAACATAGCCTCAATCTCTCTAACTTCATGGTGGGAGCCATGGCCCCCAATTCCTTGAAATTATTGCTTGGAATTATGGAGTAGACAGCTCTTTCTAACTGTATATACAGCTGTATACTATCTTTGAATCCCAACCATAATGTTACGCTAAAAAAAATGGAGTGGACGACAAGTAATAGCTATGTACTCAATACTATGCACAGAAAGCTACATTACGACGTTGTTGATGTTGTAACTTCTGTAAATATACAGAAACTTCTGTAAATCAAAAGCATTACAAATAAGGGAGCAGTGAGCTATTCTGCAATAAGTATTTTTTAAAATAAAATGAAATGATTAATCGTTTTCTTAAAAGAGAGAGAGAGAGAGAGAGAGAGAGAGAGAGAGAGAGATTATTGATCGCACAATCAGAGATCTGAGAATGCAGAACTAAAAGAGTGATTCCCTAACGAAGATCTCAAATAAGAGAATGGAGATGTAGAGAGCAATGAAGAAGTTTCTGAGATCTATAAAAATCAAAGTCCTGTTAAACTTCAGAAACAGAAATATAGAGGAAAATAAAACAAATAAAGGAATTAAGGGAATTAAAATAAAAAGTAAACTTGCAAGCCAAAACTGAAAAGAATAATGCTATACGCCTCAAACAAATGCTAAGATCAGATATTATCATATGTGCAGTTTATGTGACAAATTTAAATTTTTTCATTGCTATGAAAATATGCAGTAATTTAAGAAAATTTAAATAATTAAAATAATAATAATCTCAGGCGCAAAGGAATGTTGCGCAGTAAATGCCAAATTACATAGGAAACGGAAGCAGGGAATCATTAAACGAGCCGTTGGAAACTAATTCCAAAATCTCAACTTTTTATCTTCCTCACCCTCAGATACTACAGACCGCCCACCCACCCCGTCTCCCTCCGGCAAGCATTCCGGCGGAACCTCAAACAAAGAAAGCGAAAGTCGCTTATGTGCGACTCCGATATCAAAGAGAATGACGCCTGAGGAGGGATCGGTGACAAGGATCCCCCGCACGGGAAGCCATAAGAATAGCTCTTCTTGCTTCAGACCCTCCACGCCGCGCAGAGCGCCGTAGCTGAGATTGCCGCGCACCACTCTGTCAAAAAACGCTGGGCCGTCGTACTTTGTGTAACAGGGGCGGTTGAGTCGCACCTCGAGAAGGCCTGTGGTGGGATCGAGAATGTACGAGTTGATTTCATTCGGGATGAGACCGGCAGGAAGGCCGTGTTGCCGGAGGAGGTCGTGGACAGACCCGCCGGCTGCGGCGGTGTTGAAGAGGATGAGAGAGATGATCACGGGGAGAAGAAACAGGGGAAAGTGGATGTTAGGCATTAGCGAAGGGTTTAAGGAGAGGGAGATTAAAAAGTTAGAATTTTGGGATTATTATGGGAAGAGAAATGGAGGATTTGGGTTTTGTGTTTAAATTAGGAGGATCGAAAATAGAACTTGGCGGCTAGTGGAGCGTAATTTACGGAAATAATACTTATATGAAAATTTTAGGAGGTTGTTGCATCACTTTCTATTTCTATTTTTATTTTATTTATATTTTAATATAAAATAAAATATATTTTATATGTTAATTAAGTGTTATTTTTATTTTTATTAAATATTACATAAATTTTCTTATGGAGGCTGGTAATAGCTGGGATGATTTTCATTACAAAAAAAAAAACACAAAAAAGAACATAAAAATATATTTTGGGTATTTAAAATAAAATTATTTATTTTCTAAAATTTAAAATATAAATTAGATAAAACACAAAATAATTTTTTAAATAAAAAATAAATAGTGATTTAAACCTTCTTTTTTTAATATTTTTTATTTAATTTTATATGATTTATTATATGAAGGAGTATGAATATTCCTATTACAATGGAAATTGACAAATTTAATCTAAGTATGTGCTGGGAAAACATTTTATTATGTAAGAACTGAAATTTAAAGGTTATAAAACATTAATTTTATAGAAAAACGATTAGGTTTATACGTGAAATATGTTTTAAAAGCTTATTTTGAACAAATTTACTCCAAATGAATCACAACCAGTGAGTTGAGTTAGGTCGTGAACCAACTCGAATTCGACTCGCTAATGAGCTCACATGACAAGCTCATCAAGCCATGAATTTGAGCTTGACCGATAATCAAGCTCATATATTGTACAAGGTTGAGCTAGCTTGAGTTATGTATAGCTCGACTCACAAACTTATCGAGTCTCTCGTTTAAATTAAGATATATTTATATTACTAAACTAATTCCATAATAATATGATAAAATATATAATACATATTTTTAATTTTTTCTCAAGTCAAACTACAACATTCCAAATGAGTTCAAATAATTAAGTTGAGCTTGAGCTTAATATTTTCAAACGAGCCGAGTTCTATCTCATTAAATAAGTTCTCAAGGTCGAGCTTGGTAAAACTTAAACGAGCTTAGCTCAATTAGACATTTACTTGACTTGACTCGACACATTTACACCCCTAGCAATAGTGATGTCCTTCTGCAGGATGCTGATACAGATGCTGCCTTCTTCGAGGTGTTACCGCCTGGAACAAAACAAACGGTGAAAGCAAACAAGCAAGCACAGTGTAAGAGGGGAAGAATACCTCTGTATTCTGTTGTATTTCGTATAGAAAGGTTGAAGACCAAAAAGCTGCCTCGTTTCTACCTCCTTTTCCTATCTGTATGCTCAGTAATTTCCTATTACTATTTTAGTATAACTAAAGGAAAAAGATAGTAAAAGTTTTAAAACAGAAAAAGAAATAAAGGTAGTGGACACGCTGCAGGTTGTTAGGAAGTGTAGGAGTACTCGCAGGTGTCAATAGCTTAACCGGTACATCAGTCCTCCCCAGCATCAGAAGAGCTCGACTCCGACGAGCTGATAGAGATGATAGCGCCGTCTGCTGGTTTGTAATGTGTAATATCCGCCACATTAAAGGTGGAGGAAGTGTTGCAATCAGCCGGTAGCCCGATACTATAGGCATTATCATTAATTTTAGCAACAATGGGGACAGGACCCAGTTTGCGTCTGGCTAGTTTGGAATAAGATCCCGGAGGGAACCTTTCACGACGGAGACGGACCATGACCAAGTCTCCTACCTTGAATACATGCTCTCGTCTGTGCACATCCGCGGCTTCCTTATACCGGCTGTTAGACTGTATAATTTGTTGACGGATTTCAGCGAGCATTTTGTTGTAGTCTTCTGTGAAAGAACTAGCTGCAGCTGAATGGCATTTAGGAACAATTGATAAGTCAATGACAGTATTAGGTGCCTTGGTATAAACTATATCAAATGGAGCCTTCCCGGTAGAACGATTGGGCATCGCATTATAGGCGAATTCTGCCCGTGACAGCATCTCTTCCCATTGTTTCGGTTGTTCCTGCACTAGGCATCTAAGCATGTTGCCCAGCGTTCTATTCACAACCTCCGTCTGCCCGTCAGATTGAGGATGGTAGGCCGAGCTGAACCGTAAATCGGTTCCAAGACGCTTCCACAGTTCACGCCAGAAATGGCTTATGAACTTAACGTCTCGGTCTGAAGTAATGCTCTTAGGCAGCCCATGTAAACGAACAATTTCGTTAAAAAAAAGAGTAGCGACATTCATAGCATTCGCAGTTTTTTTGCAAGAAAGAAAATGGCTCATTTTAGAAAACCTGTCGACGACCACGAGAATGGAGTCGTTGCCCCGCCTAGTCCGCGACAAACCTAGCATGAAATCCATGCTTACGTCCTCCCATATAGAATTTGGTACAGATAGTGGCATATATAAGCCACTGTTTTGCGCTCCCCCCTTGTATGCTTGGCAGATCGGACAGCTTTCAACGAACCGTAGAGTATCACGTCGAAGTCTCGGCCAGAAGAATCGAGATTGTAGTTGGCGCAAGGTGTTGTCCTGACCCAGGTGGGCTGCTAGGCCGCCGCAATGTGTTTCCCGAATTAAATGTTGGCGCCAAGAAAACACGGGAATACACAGTAGATTATGTTTGAAGAGGAAGCCATGCCGAAGTGAGTATTCTTCCCATTGGGAGGATTGTGCGCATTTCGCCCAAATTGCGGCAAAATCATCGTCTTCCGCATAGAGTTCTTTCACGTGTTCAAGTCCCACAAGCTCAGCCTGCATCCGTGTCAACAGCATATTCCGACGGCTGAGAGCGTCTGCCACCCGATTCTCGGTACCTGGTTTGTGCTTCAACGTGAAAGAGAACCGCTGTAGGAAAACTAGCCAGCGAGCGTGCATTCTATTGATTGTCTTCTGAGTGTTGATATGTTGTAGAGCTTTATTGTCACTACACAAGATGAAATCTTGGTGTAGAAGATACGACTCCCATTGCTTAAGTGCGCGGACGACCGCGTACAATTCCTGTTCATAGGCCGCCCACTTCCTTCGAGCTGGACAGAGCTTTTCGCTGAAGAAGGCAACAGGTTTACCTTCTTGCGACAACACAGCACCTATACCAATAGAGGACGCATCAGTGTCAACCGTGAATAGTTTGTCAAAGCTCGGGAGAACTAAAATCGGTGCGGTAGTGAGCGCGGCTTTGATTGCTTCGAAACTGTGTTGCTGTTCGGGACCCCAGCTAAAATTTTTAAATTTCAGGCACTCTGTTACCGGCGCCATGATGATGCTGAAGTTCTTAATGAAGCGGCGATAGAAATTCGCCAAGCCGTGGAAGCTTCGTATGTCAAAAAAAGATTTGGGCTGCGGCCAATCTTTGATGGCTGAAATTTTCTGGGGATCCACATGAATTCCGAGCTCTGAAATGATGAATCCAAGGAAATTAACGCTCGAGGTGACCAATTCGCATTTTGGTAAGTTGAGGTAGAGCTTCTGTTCTCGAAGTGTGCTGAGTAAAACTTTCAGGTGATGTAGGTGCTGTAGCCGATCGGAGCTAAAGACCAGAATGTCGTCGAAATAGACAATGCAGAATTGGCCCAAGTAAGGTTTCAAAATCTCGTTCATGATCCTCATGAACGTGGATGGCGCGTTACACAACCCGAACGGCATCACCTTCCATTCATAGAGCCCTTGGGGTGTCTTGAACGCCGTTTTCCATTCGTCACCGGGGCGAATTCGAACCTGATGGTAGCCACTTCGCAAATCCAACTTGGAGAAGACCGTGGAACCTGTCAGTTGATCCAGCAGTTCGTCGACCCTTGGCATGGGAAAACGGTATTTAACCGTAATCTTATTAATGGCCCGGCTGTCTACACACATCCGCCAATTACCGTCCTTCTTCGGCACTAACAATGCCGGCATGGCGCAAGGACTGAGGCTAACTTGTATCATTTGCCTCTTGAGTAAATCTTCAACCAACTCTTGAAGAATTGCTTGTTCTTTGGGATTGAGGCGATAGTGGGGAAGGTTCGGCAATGTCGCACCTGGTACGAGGTCTATCTGGTGCTGTATGCTACGTAAAGGAGGTAATTCCGCAGGTAACATCTCTGGCATCACATCTCGGTATTGTTCCAAAAGTTCCGAAACATCTGGAGACACCTCTTGTCGTGGGTGGCTTGGATTCCGCTCTGTGATAAGAAGTGCAAACAGCGGCGCCTGTTCTTTCCAATCCCTCACTAAGTTGCATCCTGAAACAAAGTGTATGGCAGCTCGTTTGAATTGGTCTTTGTCACGGGCAGGAGCGTTAGTCGAACCAGGTAACAACCGCAACTTTTTACCCTTCCAATCGAGTGAGTAAACATTCGCTCTGCCGTCGTAGTGGGCACCGACATCAAACTGCCATGGTCTACCCAGAATCAAGTGGCATACGTCCATTTCCAGAACGTCGCAGAGGACTTCGCACGAATAATGTTTGCCAATGGAGAAGGTCACGCGGCATGACTCTGTGACGGCCATCTCCATTCCCTTCTTGACCCAACTGATTCTGTATGGGTGTGTGTGTTTGGTCGTCTTCAGCTGCAATCCTTGAACAAGTGCCTTGGAAACAATATTTTCGGTGCATCCGCTATCTATGAGTAGGTCGCAGACTTTGCCACTTATAGTGCACCTTGTTTTAAAAATGGCGTGGCGTTGGGACATTCCGCTCTGGCGGGGCGCTAGGAGTAACTTCCCCATTACTCCAATAAAGGGTTCTCCCTCATCAGCCTGTACATCCACAGCCACCTCTGCATCCCCGGTTACTGCGTCCTCAGGTTCCGACTCCTCATCAAATTCAGCAATCTGCAGTTGTTGGCGCTGAGGGCATTCATTGGACTTATGCCCCGGTTGGAAACACCTAAAGCATTTAAGATTGGAGGGTTTAGCATAAGGATTAGGTGTTGTGGTGCTCTTCGGTTTATACGGAATTTTTGCTTCCGTGCTCACACCAAAAGGGGTGGCAGATTGGGTTGGCGGGAGACTACTACTTCCCGAA